CTGCTCGGGCATCCAGGAAGTCCATTCGTTCATATCCGGCAGTGGCATCTACTAGCTGGTCCAACTTCGGCAGGGGGTAGTCATCCTTGGGACATGCCTTGTTCAGATCTGTAAAGTTTACGCAGACACGCCATTTCCCCCCTTTCTTCTTTGCGCACACCGTATTAGACAGCCATTCTGGGAACTGTATCTCTCGAATGGCGTCGGCCTTCAGGAGTTTGTCGATTTCCTCGTTGACCGCGCTGGTGTGATGCGGGGCCATGCGTCGTGGCCTCTGTTTGACTGGCTTGTGCGACGGGTCAACATGCAGCCTGTGTGTGATTATCTCGGGGTCTACCCCCGTCATTTTCATCTCGTTCCATGCGAACACGTCTATATTTCCCCTTAGGAACTCGATTATCTCCTCTTGTTCGGCCGTGGGCATCGAGGTCCCAACTAAGAAATGCCTCTCTTCTTCTCCCTCTACCAAGGGCACCTTCCGGAGGTCTTCTACCGACCGCTCAGTTGGGTCTATCCGGGGGTCATCCATTCCTGGACGCCCGGACTGTAATTGCTATTTTTCCATAATCTCTTCCGGTGCTCGCCCCTTTTCCTGGCTAAACGCCCCGGCTCGAACGGCTGAATAAAAACAATTTTTCGTGGACGCTTGGTCCCCCCGGATCTCCATGATACCTTCTGGTGTGGCGAATTTTAATTTCTGGTGGAAAGTGGAGTGCACCGCTCCCAACGCATGCAGCCATGTTCGCCCCATAATCACGTTGTAGGGGGAGTCCGTATTGATCACAACAAACTCGGTGTCGATGACAAAGGGACCTGTGACAACTGGCAATGTAATTTTCCCCATGGGCAGGGCGAATGAGCCGTTGAACCCGATGAGGGGTGTCCTGACTTTGGTGAGGTCTTTGGGGCCAAGACCCATCCGTTTTAAAGTTTCGGAGTACATCACCTCCGAGGAACTTCCAGAGTCTATCAAAATCCTTTTGACATCGAATTTTCCTATCCTCAAGGTCAAGACAAGGGCGTCGTTATGGGGAGTCACTACGCCTGTCAAATCCGCGTCGGAGAATGTAATGCCAAGCTCACTCGTCCTGGCCCTTTTACTTGGTGGCCCTACATCNCCTAGGCTAATGACCTGTACGTCAATAGCTTATCCTGGAGTAGAGGAGGCGTCTAGGATGGTATACCTCGACACCGAGGAGAGGCTGATCTCGGAACCGAGGGAGGGGATACCGACCGAGGTACCATATCAGACCGAGGTCACGTGTCGGTTGTAAAACAAACTGAATGCATGATCCTATATGACGAGTACCTCGGGGGCGAGGACCTGTGTGCGCCGATGGTGCTTGATCTTAGCAACAGTGTTTTAGTAACACCGAGGACACGTGTCTTCATCATAGGGTATTTCAGAAAAATTTCATCAACTAGTATTCAAGCGGAAGTGCCCACAGCTAACTTACCTTGAGGGGCTGTTTGTTTGGTGGGTTAGGTGGGGTTTTGGTGCCATAGGTTTAAGGAAAAAGGTCCAATGAACCAAAAAAAAATCATGTTTGGTTTCTATTTTGAAACCCGGATTATAATCTCGACCGGACCAGAAATGATTCCGAGTATTAAACCCATATATATGGGATTGGGCAAACCTAAGGAGGGTTCATATATGTCAGTCTAGGTTAACAACGTCAAATAATCCTTCTATTCCTAGTAAAATATCCTATCTACCAATCACATCCCAAACCCCTCCTCCAATTACTCCTCTATAATAAAACAAACATAAATATAAATTAGATTGGTCAATGGACAATATAATCATTTAAAAAACAAATGTATGGTTATAATTACAATAAATCCATGGATCCCACATTTATATTGCTTACCAAACATACAATTGGATTGAGTTTAGTTAAGGTTGGGTTTTGTCATTTTAAGAAAAAATATATTGGAAGAGATTCAGTTTTTTTTTCACCGGTTCAGCCAAACTAACAGCAGGAACATTAGATAAAACACATGACCACACAAATATGCCTTTGATCCTGAATAATCTTTGCNTTATCTCACACCTGACTTACCTGAGCTCTCCACATTCTTACAGTAATAAAATACCCCCGCAACTAAAGTCTTTCAAAGTGAAGTAGGTTACCCTAATCGAACCATTCTAGGTCACCCTAACCGAACCACTCTATCTTTGTGTGTTGCTTGTGTTGAGTTCTCTGTCATATTTACTACATTTTATTAACCACACTAATCAGTCGATAGGTGGAGTATAAAACTGATTTATGCATCATCAGTTTGACGCCGTCTGTGAAAAACGACTAAGTTTTTTACTGTCTTCTATTTCTTTGTACTTTCATTCCATTTTATGACTATTATGACTAGGTCCATGAATCAACAACCAGAAGAGAATGATCCACCATATAACGATGAGGTCCTGTCTCCACCAGCAAACCCCGTCGATACAACAAATCCAGTAGTCGGACAACAACTAATGAAGACAATGCAACTGTTGGTGAACCAAAATCAGTAGATCTTCCAATTGATGCTCGCCGTACAACCTCAAGGAGTTGTGCCCCAACCCCTAAGAAGAGAAGCACCCTAGACAATCGTAGGGCCCCCAACACCAAGGCACCCAGCACCAGGGCACCCCCTTGTAGCGCTAGGGCATCCCCCAACGCCAGGGTATCCCTCCTCAAAACCCTATAGCCCAGCACCAGGGCGCCTCTTTGCAACACCAAGGCATCCCTCCTCAGTGTCCACGCGCCTAGGCTCCTCCTTCTCATGTGTCGACTTCGTCCTCTCACGCTAATGATCCTCTTATGCATGAAAATGAGGGAAAAAAAATCAATAAATTGACCATGAAAACTACTACAATGGTCCTTCAGAGGGTATCCCTAACCAATGAAATGAAAAAATCAAGGAGGTGCAAAATCAGTTAGGCGACATCTTCAACGCCATCAAGGTGCGGGCACCGAAAATAGTTGATTACCTTGTGAGGCGCATTGACACTCCATTTGTTGCTGATGTGGCCAACTATCCTCTCCCCCCAAAGTTCAAGATGCTAACTATGGAAATTTTTGATTGCTCCAAAGATCCATTAGACCACCTTAACACCTACGAATCCCTGATGCAGTTGTACAACATACTAGACGAGATCATGTGCAGGGCTTTTTCTACCACCCTTAAGGGATCTGCTCGCTAGTGGTTCGCCAAGCTTACCTCGAATTTCATCAACTATGTCGCTGAACTAAGCAAGTCCTTTGTCTCACATTTCTTTGGAAAGACATCGATACCAAAAACTTACCACCCACTTGCTTAGCATCAAGCATGACTGANGTGGTAGGTTGGGGAAACTAAATGATAAAAACAAAAATGGTTGTTTGAAAACCATAAAAAAATGAACTACAAGCTGAACTCATTCAGATTGGTGAGAGATTTGGGCCATCTATTTGTGCACAAAGACCATGATGTACGTTTTAGTTAAACCAGCGGCGTACTGAGTTTACCAAGCTCACCTGGCAACCAACAGTATCTAGCAAAGATCTATCACTTAGAGGATATTCAAAAAGGCCAGCTACAAATTTCACCCTCAGAATACGTTCAACAGCATCATCAATCCTTGTCATTGGTATCGCCCCTGATTTCACCAAATATGTCAAATCCTCCAGAAACAATTTATATCGAAAGGGCACCATCACCTGCAAATTTTCTCAGCAAATGAGATAGAGGCATGACTTTTGTGGAAAAAAACCTACTGAAGGTAAGTGGATTGTACCATATCAATTCCTGCATTGATGGTTGACAAAACACAGTTTCTGTAGTTTGACCCGTAAGGATGGGAAAGGCGATCAAGTGCTTCCATGTCAGAAATAACAAAACCCTGCAACAGAATGTTTCCCTGAGAGCTATTGAATTGTACTCACAATAGTTTTAAACCACTTACAATCTCAAAAAACCAACTGAATGTAAGTGTATTTGGTTACCAATATCACAATGTTGTATCCAACAGTCAACACACGAGAAAACTGCATGGTATACATGCAACATGATACCCACTTTAGGACAAAACATATCTTGAACTGTTGACAGTATGTTTGTACTTTGCACATATCATTTTAGGTTTTGTATAATATTCCGTATACCTTAAATTCCAGCTTTTCTTTCAAAACTTTTGTGAGGAGAAAGTGGTTAGTGTGAAGTTTGCTTCCATTCCAGCTGGAGTACGAGGCCATTATAGTGCAAACTCCCTGAGAAATACAGTTGGGATAAGGTGCCATATGGATTCTCTCTAAATCATCATATGATGATATTGTATTCCCCTCATTTGTACCTTCGTCTGTACCCCCATCTCCAACAAAGTGCTTTGCACATGCAACAACATTGTTTCTGGGATTGAAGATGCAAATAAAAAGGAATCAATTCCTATGATATAAAGCAAGAAAATTAACTGCCAAAACATCAAAGATTAGTGCAGACTTCATTCATGGGAATAGGAACAATGGGATGAGTGATAAATGAGCTGCAATGTACACAACCAATTATTTTAAGATACTAGAAATTGAAGGATCTGAAGATGTGATAAGAAAAGCAACAGAATCAAAAGTAAGCCAGACACTTATGGGGCGTTAAAGTGAGCTCCAGCACATTAGTTTGAACCCCATTTCGTAGCGGTGAAAAATTTCAAATCTAAGCACCAATTCTTTTCTGTTTTCCCCACCAAAAGGTTTGTCTTTCTTGGGTTAATTTTCTTACCGTTACAGGATCTGAAAAGGACAACTTATACAAATTTGTAGGATCTTGTTAAATAGTTGAAGGTACAATAGTTTATTCATGAAAGAAGCACAAATAGAAAATATGCAATGTAACCTCTACCTTCCAGCTACAAAAGGGTAACTCTTTGGATATCCTGGGGGTGGCTGTCCCTGCAAGCCCGTAACCAGGGACGTCATCTTTTGGACAATTTCAGTGTCTTCATTGAAACTCTCATAGCATCTTCCCCATCTAGGATCTCTACATACCTGTCGGAGTGCATTCAAATGATTAGCTTAGCAGCTATTTTTAGGGACAGAAAATCAATCAACATAGCTTCCGTGCCACAACCATGATCTCTACAAGCATCAACCCAGCCACCTACCAGCCTCAACAACACCAAATCACAAAAACAAACACAACCACCACAATCTCCATGCCTCAATCTTAAACGAACTACCACCATCAGTGCACGTATACTGACTATGATATGAGTAATTCTTTCTCTCTCTCTCTCTCTCTCTCTCACACACACACACACACACACATCAGTGCACATATACTGACTATAATATAACTAATTCTCTCTCTCTCTCCCTCTCCCTCCAAAACACAAATCACGCTCCCCTCCAATACATTCTCTCTTCCATTTCTTTCTTGGCAGATCATGTACTATTAATGAGTGAGCGACCCACTTGTACACAATTAGTCCCACTTAAATGCATAATAGGTGTTATGCCAAGAAGGAAATTGAAGAGAACGTGTATTGTAGGATATCTCCCTCCCCAAAACATATGACAGTGACAAAATGCATAAATCTTTTTCAAGACTAATGTCTACTACTGGTTTAGGCACTGTTAAGTAAAGCTTTTCCGAAGTCCTTTTAATTGGTAAAATGGTAACTTTCACTTTATCTGCTTTTAACTTTAAAACCGAGAAAGATGGTCGATAAGATTTTTTGAAAAATATTAAATGTGTGCCTTGGTATAAAAATAACAATCACTTATTTATGAACAAACAGTGTATTCTGTACATTTGGTTGCGAATCTTGTTCCATTTAGGGAGGTTCAATCCCGTCCAGCAGAACCATTTGTGAGCTTTGACTCTTCAACCGGATCAAGCGGGTCNTCTTGTAAATGCAATCCACCATGTTTTGAACTCCCTTCATTTTCTTCTCTTGGCGCAAACAAACAAGAGACCCAGTTGAATGAGACGATTCAAGTTTCAACCAACTATATTATTGATATGCATGGTTTGATCTTCTTCTCTTCTCGATGATGATACAGCTCAGTGCGAGCTGATCTATCTATTTTTGCAACAATGCGAAGAAAGTAGCGAGGTAGGGAAGGATTGGAGAAGTGCAATAAAATAAATTAGAGTAGTGGGTGGGAAGTGGAAGGACAAGGTTTGTTTCATTGAACTTTAGTACTTCGCTTAGAACATCTCCGTAAGATGTTTCAAATGTCCAAAATAGTCATTTGACTAATCAAAGCTAAAAACAACATTCTAACAAATTATCTTCATACCCGGTAAAATAGATTTTTGTTATATCACTATAGTAATATGTAAACATAATATATATTATTTTTTCTCTCTTTCTCTTATTTTTTCCATTGTCTCTCTTTCTCCCTTTCATTATTTTCAAAAAATATAATATAAAAGAGATGATAAATAATATTTAAAAGAAGTAATTAAAAATATAAAAAATTTGTTAAAGTATGTATAGCAAAAATAAATAGCTGAGAGTAACTCTAACGGGAGTACTATGTGGGGTGGCAAACCCTTAACCTCCAAAATACCACCCCATAATCAAAAAAATTCACTCCAAAGGGGGGTGACATTTGGGTTGGCAAAATGACAACTATGGGTTTGAGGTAACAAATTTGTAAATTTTAGAGAGAGAATGGGAGAGGGATGCAAAAAGTCGTTGAGTTTACTGTTCAAAGAAGGATAAAGGGGAAGGAGGTGTCTATTTGCCTGAAAATCGTCTTGTCTCACTGGTAAATACTTATCTCATTGACATATTACCTGAAAATCGTTTTGCACCACTGGTATTTTGGGTGATTTGGTTTAGGAGAAGGGGGTAGGGATTGTATCGCAAAGGAAGGGGAAAGGTTTGCCCAGTGTGAGAAATCGGTGCCTACTATTTATTTGAGGGTAAATGACACATTTTACCTTAAAATTATTTTGTATTGTCATATTACACTATTAATTATTTTGTATTGTCATATTACACCATTAATTTTTTTATATTTTCATATTGCACTATTTAATTATTTTGTATTGTCATATTACACGATTAATTATTTTGTATTGTCATATTACATCATTAAATTTTTTGTATTGTTATATTACACCATTAATTTATTATGTTGCTATTATTTATGAAAAACTATGTATTGAAATTTTAAATGTTTACTATAAAAATATATCTGTTAAATTACGATCGTTATAAAAATTATACCTGTTAAAATATAATTGTTAAGTTTAATTATATTTTTTAATAAAAAACATTGAAATATTAAAATGACACCTACCATTGGAGCATAAACACTGTTTAAGGGTGTTAAAATATTGTTCAAAGTTGTAAAATGATATTTGACACCTCATTTTTGGCAACTCCCCCAAGAGTTGCTCTAAAATAGAAAAAATTATTTTTTGAGTAGCTAAAATAGCTACTATTGTTGGAGATAGTCTTAGGTCAATAAAGAAAGACTAATGGTTACAACTTTTGAATTTGACCCACAAATTTTGGTCCCCACACCATTACATCCCCGAATGTCGAAGTACTAATTATTTTTAATTTTGGAGGTGGCTTAGTGATAAAATTTATTTCTAGATAATGCCTACTTTGAGATTCAACAACTTTTTCACTAACTCGACTATTCATCAAAACTAGTATTCGTTTGAGTTTTGATAGGAATGTTTTGATTTTTTTGAACTACTTGTGCAATTTTAGTAATAGTAGTGAAGTTATTTGCCTATAAGGCACGTAAATGATGTTTCCCACCAGTAGTTGGAATTATATTGATTAAAATATAAGTTAAAATTTGAAAAAAAAAATTAGTCCCACTCTTTTTAGTTTATCATATCTTTAAAAACACTTTTTCTATCTATATCTATATCTATACTATTTATAAATGTCAGCATCTGTGAAAAACTTTTGATTTCCTATTTAATCCTTAATGCTCCGTTTGGTATGATGAAAAATGAAAATATGTAAAGTTGGAATGATGAAAAGTGAGAGGGATAAATAAAACATTATGTTTGATAAAGAAGGAAAATAGGAAGGATAGAAAAGTGGATGAATTAACTTTCCTTCCAACTCACCAAAATCAATCCCTCAAAAATCGAAAGAAAAGTGGATGAAAAGTTAATTATTTATATTAAGATGTATCTTATTTGTCTATATGTCTTTTAATATATACATACTAGTTATTGTCTGTACTTGAAGACACATAGTAATAAAAATGGTAAATAATAAACATATTTGTATTCATATTTAATCAAAATCACAAATATAGAGAATAAATAAAAGAATTTAAACATCGATTTGTAGTGGAAGGGAGAGGTGGTGGGCGACAATGATGGTGGTAGGAGGCGGTGATTGTTGTGGTGGGTGTTAATGACTGTGGTGGCGGCGGTAGCGATGGTGGCGATGGCGGCGATGGGGATGAAGGTGGCAGCACGGGTGATGGCGGCGACGACGGCAGTAGTGATGGTGGTGGTAGAGGTGGTGGTGGGATGACTTCAAACACTATTTTTAAAAAAAAAATATTTATGAGAAATATTTTTAAAAAGTCAATTCAAACACACCTTTAGGGACCTATTTTTCCTATTAAATTTAGGGTGTTAATATTAACCATTAAATTAACTTTAAAGTAAAATTTAAAGTGATCTTAACCGCGAATAGCAAAAGTCATTTTTTTTATCTTTTGAAATTTGAATTGTAAATTTCTTTATTATATAAATATTATGTATACATTAATTTCATATAAAAATACAATGATAAAATATGTATTCTTACATTAAATTTTTAAATAAATTTAAAAATAAATAAAAATAAATAAAAAAGAAAAAAAGAAAAAAAGAATACTAGTGTTACATTTTTTATTCAAAATGTATGTGGATCAACACAAATACGAACATGAAACGAAAATAAACAGGTTAACTCGCAACTCGACACGACATAATTAGTTAAATAAGTTGAGTTAGGTTTAACTAATTTTTGATACAAATCCGTAATGAATTAACACAACATGACTCGATTATCACTCCTAATCTTAGCCAACACAAAAAAAAAAATAGTTATTTTTATTTTTCATCCATTCAACCAAACACAAAGGAAGGAAAATGTATCATTCCTACTTTCATTCTTTGAAGTATAAAAAATGTATTCTTTTTACTTTCTATCCTTCATATCAAACAGAGCAAAATTATTATAATAAAGTCTATTATACCCACCTATATAATTTCATCTAGTTTATGTTTTTTACACATATTTGACTTTTAACCTATTTTGAACTCTTTTATAAAGATTTCTAAATTCTTTTAAACTCATTTATTAGTAGTACAAAGATTTTTTTATTTTTTTCTTAATTATTTTGATAAAGTTTATTATATCCATCTATATAGTTTCATTTAATTTATGTTTTTTACACCTATTTGACTTTCAATTTATTTTGAATTTTTTTATAAGGACTTTTAAATTCTTTTGAACTTATTTATTAATAGTACAATTATATACAATTATTTATATTTGTATGAAGAAGTAAAATTTTATATATGTTAAATTATTATACATATATAGTCATCAAGTTGAATTTCATAGTTCAATATATGTTATATTTTATTTTTTGGTATTAATAATATAATAATATTATAAGTGATCTAATCAATCTATTTATAAAATAAAAAATAATAATTATATAATATAATTAGATATACAAATGTTTAAAAGAGTTGAAGAGATATCTAAATAAATGATAAATTAGGTATTTAAAAACATATATAATAAATAAATAATTAAATTTAATAATAATTAAATATATATTAATTATATGATACCTAATTTATTATTTAATTTAATTACACTATAATTTATATTTTTATAAAAATACTATTATTTAAATTTATTTATGTGCAATGCACATTGTGCATTACTAGTTATATAAAACATCACTTACACCCATTCTAGTTTATATTTAAATATCACTGACACTTTTACTATTAAACCATCATCTCTAAAAAAAAAATCATCTAAAACACCAAAATTATCCCTACATAAAATCCCAGATAATCTTTTTACATAAAATATGAGTTGATTAAATTTTATTTTTTTTACGTATTAAAATTCGAGCTGATTTGAGCTCAACCTGAGATATTAGCGCTGATTAAAATTTGATTCGAGTCAGTTAAAATTTATATTTATTAAAATTTGTGCCAATTAGAATTCCATTCAAGTTG